TGAGTTAAACAGGATTTCATGGTACAGGTTTGCAGAGGCTTGCCTGTAGCAGGCAATATCAGCCTTTAGACTTAAAGGTCTAATGGTGAAGGTTAGCAGTCTGCATGCTTACACTGTGTTGGTAAGAGCCAGGGATGCAGCTGCATCATTATCTGGGCAAGTTTTGATGTCAGATACAGACCTGTGCAAGGAGGGCAGAGGTCATTACCTGCCTGTGGCATGTATAAATTTCTAAGAGAAGCTTTGAATGCAAGGCTAAATTCCTGTAGGCTGCCTTATTCTGGGAGTTTACGTAGACCTTTAAACTTTCTGAAACCATTGCACTGTATTACCTCTAAAATGGGATATCTCCTACAGTACAGCAAAGCTTACTCACGTATACTTCACCTACAGTTTAGCATGTTATCAAACTTACTGCTCTTCTGTTTGTTTACTATATGCAGGGTGTAGGTGTTAATACTGCATAAGTGATGATGCTGCTAACAGCAAGCATAGTACAGAGGTCAAGACGTGAAAGTGCTGCTGTGTACACCAAGAGTAGGGCAAAAGCATGTTTGATTACACCTTAATACAGCTAAGGCTGTCAAGTATTTCATAACAGCCAGTCAGAGGAATGTGTTTACTAGTTAAGTAGTGAGGAAAATACTGGCGCACAAACATTTCCCAGAAGTGCTGTAGATTATCCTCTCATTAGAGGAGTTGCAGTTCTTTCTAGTGTAAATTATATTTTCTAGAATGAGAAGTAACAGTTTTTTGTTGGTAGTGGTGGTTTTGCTTGCTTGTTTTCTGGTTGGTTGGTTGGTTGGGGTTTTCTTGAGGGTACAAAAGATGTCATTGTGGATTTGTGAATAGAAATAAAAACCTAGCTCTTCTTTTTAAAGTTTTGAAGCCAAAAAATGAAGCAAGAATATACCTGCAGGAGTTAAATTGCTAGTTTTCTGAATCTGATTTTTGGCAGGATACTTGCCATTTGTGAAGCTTTCTCAGAACTTACTTAGAAAGGATGATTCACTCTGTGTTTCTATGAGTATCTTGTCTGACCCTGGCTCCCAGACAATGTTTGGAATTGTTGCAGTGTGTACCTCAGCCTGGGCAGAGGCTCAGGTACCAGCTGTGAGTTTGGATCTGTCTTCTCAAGGCTGGCTTGTGTTTTCTCAGAGCTGAGATAGGCCAGCGTGGGCTGTGCAGACCTGTGGTACAGCCAAATCTCTGGACTTGGCCTTATCATCCTTGTTCTCAGCAAACAAATACCTATGGCAAGATTAGCGTTTCCCAGCTGTAGTTGGGGATACTAAGGGATTATAAACTATATATATAAGACCCTAAATGCAAGATGAAGGTATTGTATTTGCCAAAGTTAACAGGATCTCTAGAGTTAATAGCACATCTGGATGTTGGTGTTCTGTGACCATCAGCAGCTGCTATTGCATTGGAACTACTGCTTAAGTTGTGGTATTAGGTTTGGTTGGGTTTTTTTTTTCTGTTATGGAACTTAAATATTGGTCAAAACTAATGTTTTTGTGAGCAGAAATTAGATAAAAAGCATCAATTGTAATCTGTGTCCTTGAGATTTCATTGCAGTGTGATTAAAGCAGATTCCTAGTGCTGTTTTGGGTACATGGTCAATAGCAGCTAAATACTTCTGGTTAATTTTGACTACTGGAAAAATGCAGTCTTCTGTTGTTGCTAGGAAAGCAATTGTGATTGCTTTCAGAAAGGAAAGCAATGGTTAGTGGTTTGAAGGTGTTGGGAAGATGCAGTTCTTGGAACAGGGCTAGTGTAGCTGTGTAGTACTTGCAACAGTGCTTGTGTTGTAACGAGTTTGGATTTGCCTGCTAACTTTCATCACTTCCTTGTCCCTCACATACTTGCATTTGGCTTTTTGAGGGCAGCTTATGTGGCACGAACACAAATACTGTTGAAACACTGAAGGATTTTTTTCAGTTCTCAAACCCCAAATTTTATCACCAGCACTGTTGGGTGCTTCCACTGTACAAGAAACAGCTACTGAGAACAATGGAAATCCTTACGAATTGCTAAGGCCACACTTAGTATTGCTTAAAGATGTCTTTTTGTGCCTTTCTTTATATTACTTAGAAAAACTCCCAAACAACTAAAAAACCCCTTTGAATTACTCTTTTATAAACACACATGCTTTCCAGCTGTTCAATACGCAAATGTTAGGAAAATTTGGAGGTCTGTTTCAATCTTGTTTTACTTCCTCCCTCCACTCTCAGATGTCTGAGCCTTACTGTAATTTTAAAAGTATGTATCTATCTCTGGGTGCTCCTTAATGAGTTTTGACATTTTCACATCTTTACTTAGACTGCTGTCAAACAAACCTATGTCTTTCCAGGCCCTTAAAAGGGAAAGCTTAAGGAAAGGTGAGTGTGGTAGTCAGCTCTTCTCAGGTGCTGAGCACAGGCCTCTTTGTTAAATGAAGTTTTGAGGGGAGTGCAGAAGGCTCTAGGGTTGATGTAGTGGTTCTCATAATAAAAAAAAAATTAATGGTAGAAGGAGACTGGGGAAGCAGCATTACTGGAGGACTTCTCTAATCCTTGAAGCTAGAACTGGTATCCCACAAATTAATTTGTCCTAGCAGAAGGAGATGCACCACAACAGGTCTGTAGGAGAGAATCAAGAAATGGTATTTTGGCACGGGTTATTTGCTGACTACTGCAAAAACAATCTCTTACAATTTTGCTCAGTCAGAGCTTTGTATAATTAGATATAAAGCTGTCTGACAGCTTGTCTTTGCAAATATGAGGCTAGTGATATCTAGATCTTGCTTAAACCAAAATAAGAAGCTTTCAGAAGTTAATTTTGCTAACTCTTGGAGCTATTTGCTTAGGCTCTCAACTTCAGTGAGGGGCTGTGTTACTGATGATCAGTGCACAAATTACACACCCAGGAAATAATTTGCTTAGAAAAAACAAATCCTTGCTTCCTTGATGTTAATTCCGAGTTTAATATAATCGACCAGAATACTGAGAGGAGACAAAGTCTACCTCAGGAAATTCAGCAATGAGTGATCTCAATCACTATGATAACACCTAGTCTTTTTATGCAAAAAATAATTACATGATTTTAGCTAGAAGTGAATGAGTTGAATTAGTCAGTTTGGAGACTGCCTTCTGAGATGTTCAGAAGAGTTTGAATATGATGGAGCTGCTCTAAAAAGCAGATTAAAAAGCCATTAAAGTGCATAGGTGCTAAACCATGTCACTGTCATTTGCATCATAAGAATGTCTTGGAAGCATTGCTTTTTTCTCATTTTCTCATGTTACCAAGATAATAGCAACTGCTCTCCTGAAGTGTTGTCTTTCTGACCATGAGGCAGGGTGCAGATTATTGTAAAAAGAAAGTGCTAGCTTTTAAGAGACTGTCTTAATGCAAAATATCTTATGGACTGGAGTGATATGCATTTGCAGCTGGACTGGTGGACCAGTGACTTGATTCAAAAGCTGAAAATCATTGTTTTGAGGCAGTGTGTACTCAGCTGTATTGATTTCAACTTTTGGAAAAGGAAAGTAGTACACTAAGGGTGGCCGTTGTCTGCTTTATTTCTGAGTGGTCTTTTAAAGAAAAGCTCTTAAATGGATTACAAAATTAGAATGCTACCTTTATATTTTCAACCTCAAAAGTGCTAGTCCTGATGCAGGGTACCAGTTCCTTCCTGTGCTCTTTTTGTTAAACTCTTACTGGCAATCCTGTATGATGTTTGGTAAATCTATCCCCTAGTTGAGTTGGTTCCTTTTTTTTTAGCCAAAAGTAAATAGAACAACTCACCTCAAAGAAGTCTCTTGACAGTGTTTCCAGGTACACATATTTACAGATCATTTAGGTTTCCATTTAGGAATGAGGAAGTTAGATTTAAACAGTGTCAAGAAGGCAAACAATGGTCTGGAGAGGACATTTCAAGTCAACTTAAAATAACCTTTATACTGTGTACATGTGTGCTCTTAACTTCTTGATGTAGATTCCATTCAGATGTGCCTATTGTAGGAATGTTTTTAATTGACAATAACTTTCCACTTCCTTGCTGACTCTTTTATATCCCTCCTTCCAGGATGAGACAGTCATGAGAGTGGTATAATGCTAAATGTTCTCAAGGCCATTTTTCCTTTCCTTCCAAGGCCTGATTCTAGAAAACAAACCTAAAACAATTTTATAAAGAACACTGGCATGCTGTCCACATCATCTTGCCAGTTTCTTTCAATTTCCGTGTGACTGGCTAATCAATCCTGTTCGTATTTAGGCCAGAGGAGCAGTGCAGCATAACAGTGCTGCTAATGTTGCTTGTCCTTTGCATTCTTACATAGAGAGTAGAGGCATGGCTAAGAAGAAATAATACTGAACTAGATACGATGTCCCCTATGGATCCATAAGTCAATATTTGGCGATGAAGATGTCAGTAATGTGCTGGTCTGGAGGATGAGGTGCTTCTTTATTAGTATTCAGTATCTGGATTTCTGAAGGATGAGTTGCACAGAGAAGCTGTAAAAATTCAAAAGTTCAAATTTCCATGATAGAATTATTTCCCTATTTTTATTTTTTTTTAATGTATCTAACAGTTAATCTGCTATAAAACAAATTGTGGTTTGTTCTGCCAAAGCTGAGAAGTTTCTGCAACTTGAATTTGACTTAAATCAGCCAGGGCCAAGGATAAGGAATTAAAGGGATGCAATATGTAGCTGTTTCTGTGATGAGCTGAAATAGTATTTCCATTCCATACTTACTAAAAGTCCATATATAAATAGTTTTGTAGAAGACTCTTCAGAATCCAAGGGTGGCTATTTTTAGTACTATTATTCTTTTTATGTTAAAGTACTATTGGAGTACTGTTATTTGTGTTACATTGTTCCTCTAACTATTATGTTTGAGTTACACAAAAGCTGAGAGGATTTGAGCTGATATAAAAGCAAACTGGTTAGCTGTTTCAGATGCAAGGGATGATGCACCTAGTTAACTGTCTTCTCCTTGCTCCTTCCCTGACACAGAACAATACGAGTATGGCTGAAGAGAGACAGTGGACAATACTGGCCCAGCATCTATCACACCATGTCATGTAAGTACCATGCTGGAGATGGTAAGTGATGGCCAAGCATGGCATGGGTTTTGTAACCTGTGCTGTGTGTGGGAATACCTCCTTCCCATTTCCCCAAGTGCTGGATTTGCTCGATGATCTTGAAATTGGGAACTTTGCAGCAACTCTAGCTCAGACTTTGAAACTAGCTGCATAGTGGGTGAGATCTAAAGCAGCATTCTGTCAGAACCACATCCTTCACCACGTGAATCACTGTGTGGATCTGCAGCTGTAGACGTCTCAAATGTTGGCAAATAACTCTTATGCTGAATAAGTGACCTTTTCAAATGACTAGTTTTAAAGTTCAGGCATAAGAATATTCTTTGCTTTCCAAGGTTGGCATCTTCTTTCTATCCCCCCCCAACCCCG